GTTGAACTGGTGTGAGGACAATCTTAAAAGGCTTACGGAGGAGAGAGATGCCCTAAAACTTCTCAGTGGACAAATAGAAGGGGAGATCAAGGACCTCCGGGCTGAATTGGCAACAACTCAAAAAGAGAAAACCGACCTGATTGAGCAGGTAATGAAAACTTTTTAGAGGTGTGATGTATCAGTTCGGGGATGATGACTAATACTTCGATCCTGCAGGTTCAGCAAAAGGTCGAGAAGATCTAACAGCTCCTTGAAGAGGCCAAGATGAAGGAGGCAGAGACTTTGGTATGGAAACAAAACATGGACCGCCTTGCCTCGGAGAAATATACTGCTCGGCCTAGTTGTCTTCGATCGAACGTCAACTCCAAAGCATGAAGAAGGAAAACTTGGACCCAGCCAAAAAAATTGAGGAGCTCGAGGCTTGGTTGGCCACTGAGCTTGCAAAGGCCACATCTGAGGCAGAAAAAACAAAGGCTGACGCGGAGGCGGTCATGGTCGTCTACCGAGCTGATGCTGAACCTGCTCATGCTCGAGCAAAGGAAATTTCTGATGCTGCTAAGCTCGAGCATTCTGCGTTGTTGAGCATGCCAAATGCCAGTATCGGAGAGAGACTCTCAAGGAGATTCATGCTCGTGGCGTTTCCTTGCTACCAAGATTGAGAATGCAAAAGTACTCGAGGTCGAAGCTATAACATTGCTTTCTTCTGATAATGATGACTCCGGGAGCGTGAGTAGATCCGAGAGCAGAGATGATGAAGATGAGTCTCCCGGGGAAGATTAGGCATTTAGAATTTTTTTTGTGTAAGACCCTGAGTGGCCTTTGTAAATATTTTTGCATATATAAAAGATCTTTTTTCTTTCTGACTCGTCTCCAATTTCTATTTTGTGAAAACTCTGTTTTACTTTTCACCTTATGATAATTTTGATATACTTTATATCTTGTGAGAATTTTGACTCACTTCGTTGCCTTGCGAAAATTTTGTCGAAGTCGGATTACTATAGCCTCTATAATCGAATGAGTACTTGCTCGAACTCAGATTAGGAAAAACCCTTAGGTTTCAGTTGAACGAGGGTGGATTCTTGAACTCAACAAAATGGCCCTTAGGCTCTTGAAATAGGTTGATATGGCTCTAAAAAGAATGGTTTTTCTCCCTTTTCGACTTAAAAGGTTAATCGTATAAAATTTTGTTATGCCTTAGCACGAGATAAATCTGTTAGGTTATTCGGGGGTTAGTTTTATTGAAACCCTTTACTCTGTTATGCCTTAACATAAGCTTGTTCAAGAGTTCGAACAATTTTTTACCCCTTGAGGTTTTTGAGGGTTGATTTTGTCGAAACCCTTTGTAATTTTGTCGAGGGTAGCCTTTTTAACCGATTTTATGAAGATATTTGAAGGCCTGTTTTGTTACGGAATTTGAACGTCTCTGAACCGTGTTAGTATGGTCATAGCCTTTAACTTGAGATTTTTCCTTTGGGCTTGTTCCTCGATTACACTTCGGACTTGTTCGAAGTGTCAGTCCCCGAGTGGGAGTGGGAGTGGCCTATAAAACCGAGGACTGCCTTTTCAATGTCTTATGGTCCGAAGTTTAATAATTCGAATATGTCGACTTTTGGGCGGCAGTTCCTGAGTACGGGGTTGATAGCTCGAGCTTTAGTTGCGATCGGCACTTGAGCCAGTTTTTGCAATAGATCATAAGTATAGTAGAAACTGTAAAGTAGAAATTTCACTAAGTCATGCAACATCTAGTAAGGAAAAATACTTCTTTCAATAGATCATTCAAGCGTACATGTTTTGCCATCGGGGCTTGAGTAATCTATATGGACAAGGTTCATTTGACCGTTTGGCCCTTAACAAAATTTTCATATCGAGACCCTATTGATACGAAGTATTTTGCTTGATTACATAACATCTGAGGGTGATGCCCCGGTATTCGAGGTTGATTGTAAAGAAGCCTCGGATACTGTTGAATTGTCCCAAGGTAGCACAAATAATTGTTGCCTCGTTAAAAACCTCGTCGGAAAAACCCATTTGGGATAAAAACCGATCTAAGGGAAAAAGAGTGCAACGCGTGCTTAAAACCTAAGGTCTTCGTGTTGAAGAATTTATCGATGTCTTCGATCGAACACCTACAATAAGTTAGTATCAAACACAAATGAAAATGGAGAAAGTCATACCTTAGCAATAATATCGTTTGAGGAGTGATATGTTCCAACTATTAAGAGAACGGTGTTGCCTTAGCAATAACTAAGAGCTTCGGCACCATATACCAAGGAGAACAGTGTTTCCCCCGTACTGGATTTTGACGTTGTTCGATACGCCCAAAGGACTTCGGGCAAAATTTCTCTCCATTTTCCCTTAACGTCGTTCAACCTTTTCTTTAGATTCTGAATGATGGTCTCGTTTGTTGATTTGGCCTGTCCATTCACACTAGGATGATACGGCGTTGATAATATTGTATACGGTCAAAACTGGGCCTACCCAATTGTGCTATTTGATCGAGACAAGGGAACTGCATTGGGGGTAGCCTCGTAATGAATAATGAGTCAGACCCGAGCTCGAAGACGAGACATCGAGTCCAAAGATCGAAGTGCCTACCGAGATCGATGCCAACAATAACCAAGGCCATATATGACAGACTTCGAACGAAGCACAATAACGGAAAAGCGAGATATTCGTAACCGGTCAAAGATCACGGCGGAAATCTCGAAACAGATCAAATCAAGGGCGGTTATTTGTGCCAATCATGGGATTTACTTCCATAATTAGAATTGTATCATAATTAGGATTCCTCTACTATATAAAAAGGAGTCATCATCATTTGTAGACACCTTACATTCACACTGATCAAAGCAATATATAATTCTATCTTCAATTTACATTCTCTTGTTCATCAGCTTGTTATGTTCTAACTGTTCTTGTTCTACTAGCTCGAGGGCATCCCAGCTCGAGGGCTCTGCTCAAATATTGGTTTGCTTTATATTATTGCCAATCTTCATTACTTATCTTTACGTTAATCAATTGGTATTAGGTGAAATCACGTATCCTTAAAACCATGTTATCCAGCGAACAATTGTCAAATAATTGGAACAACCTCGTGTTGATATGTTCCAATTATTTGGCAATTGTTCGCCGGATAACATGATTTATAATGTGGTTTTAAGGATATATGATTTCACCTAATATTGATTGATTAACGTAACTATAAGTAATGGAGATTAGCAGTAAAATAAAGCAAACCAATATTTGAGCAGAGCCCTCGAGCTAGTAGAACAAGAACAATTAAAACGTAACAAGCTGATAAACAAAGAGAATGTAAATTGAAGAGAGAATTATATATTACTTTGATATGTGTGAATGTAAGGTGTCTAAAAATGATGGGGACTCCTCTTTATATAGTAGATGAATCCTAATTATGGTACAATTCTAATTACGGAAGTAAATCCCATGATTGACACAAATAACCGCCCTTGATTTGATATGTTCCGAGATTTTCACCGTAATCTTCGACCGATTACGGATATCTCGCTTTTCTATTATTGTGCTTCGTTCGAAGTCTGTCATATATGTCCTTGGTTGATGTTGGCCTCGATCTTGGCAAACACTTTGATCTTTGGACTCGATGCCTCATCTTCGAACCCGGGTCTGACTCATTATGATGCTACCCGATGCAGTTCCGTTGTCTTTTCCTAGTAGTAGTAGGTACTGCCTTCCATTATTCTTCTCTCAGACGAACAAGACATACACCTTCACGAAAAGCCATGGCGACAGGCTTCTTGTTGTAGGAGAAATCCTAATTAATACAACACATACATGAAAGACTTAGTTCAAAATGGAAACAACAAAAAAATTATTTTTCAACACTTGTATCTAAAAAACATCTGAAAGATGCTGTTAGAATCATAACATATACAGTTATAAGAACTAACCTTCTCCGAACAAATTCTGTTTTAACAAAACCAATCGGCCACCTGAAGTTTCATTGATGCAGAGTCTTGAGGGATCTGATGATCGCAATGACCTGTTGCTTGCTGCAATAAGTATGATCTCATAAAAGACTTCGGAATCTGCATCAGTCCCAAAAGGTGCGTTGAAGGAGAATTAGCATGTTTTTAAACTTCCCTTATTTCTAATTATACAACAAACTAATAGTATGGTTAGATCATACTAAAGTCATGCAGTACCAATTCAATTTAGACCATTCTGTCCATATTAAATGGCTAATCTCTACTACCTAAAGATAAAGAGATTGGTGATTGGTAAGAATCTTTCACTGTCTCGACCCAAAACTCCAACCAAAAGAGGTACCTTACTCACCTCAGGGCTTGGTTATGGATTTTTTGAATTCGTGGCTGCACCCAACTTCCACTACTTTGGCTATTTTTCTTTATTTAGCAAGCATTAAATGTTCAAATCCTTACATTGGCTGAGTAAAGCATCCAGAAACTTTGTAAGGATTCTCGGCCACAATTCTTTTGACATGTACTCATAACGCCGGTGTTTGTTTAGTTGGATTCTTTTAAGTTAATGTTTACAGAAAATAACCTGGTGGCCAAAGTTCTGTCTTTTCTGGAATCTGTTACTCTGTCAACAAAAGTATAAGGCGGAGCAACTCCGAAGCCTACTTAAACTTGATTCACTTGTTCTCTCCTTGTCATTTTATCTACCAATTCAGTTTTCTGATATTTTCCTCTTTGAATATGGCAATTAATTCTGTATCACTACAAAGCTTCTTGAGGGGATGGCTACTCTTTTGCTGGATCATTTTGTAAATGATTTGGGCAAATTTTTACTACTATATAGAAACGGGAGTTCAAATGTACAAACAATGTACGAACAGGGGTAATTTAGGAATTGTAGTTATTTTTCAAGGGCATTTCGGTATTTCAGTTTCAAACTTTCAATTGCAGCGCTCCCATATTCGTCTTCCAAGTGACACGTGTTTTATAGTTTCCCCTTTTTTCGACAACTGACTATTAGTTCCATTTTCACTTCTATTTCCCATATACTCCACTTTTTATTTTGTTCTTCTCCCTCGCCTTTCTTTTTTCTGAGTCATGATTTTGGTGCATTTGCCGGAAGTTTTTTGTATGTCCTTTCATTGTAATGGGTCTTTGTTTTAAACCCTCCAAAACTACATTAAAAGCTTTGTCTTTGGCAGTGAAAGATCAGAAGATCCATTGATTTGTCAAGTGTAAGTGATGACATCTTACATAAATTAAAGGAGAGATATTTTCGCCAAAGCTAAATATCTAAAGAAATCGAGAAGTTGGTACTTGGGGTTATATTGTCATCTACTTGATTTTTCCGTGATTTTCCTGCTTCTTTTTTTGAATGTCGTGTGTTTGATTTTGTATGAGTGTATTAACTTTTAATTTGTGATTGCATGGCTTAAAAAAACTAGGGCTTGATGCCTTTAGATCAACTATGCTGAAGTAATTTATTTTTATTCTCTTTCCATTTGGAGAGATGTTGGATTCTATTAAGCTTTCGGCTTTTCTTGAAATTGGGAGTCAACTATCAACTGGCTCTTATTATTATTTTCTACAGTACTTAAACTTAAAATTTGATTTCTATATGTTTGTTCTCTTCTGGGGGGTACTGTTTATATTGTTCTTAAATGAAAATGCAATATGAATTTTTTTTTTATTTTCTCAATTTGATTTTTGCCTTTTGTTCTTTGTAGGCTCATGTCAATTCTGGGTTTGGAGGTCTCTATTTTTATATGTGAATAAATTACCTAGATCGATATATATTTTTCTATGAATTTGCTACAATTCCAAATCCAATTACAATTTATACTTTTTTTGGTTTTGCAGGGAAGTAAAGCTGATCAATTTCAGATGTTAGCTACGGCATGTTTGTCGCTTGCATCCAAGATGGAAGATATGGATGCTCCTTTGACTGTTGATTTGCATGTTACTTAAATTTATCAACAGGTGATATAAATTCTCTATTTGTAATGTCGAATCTATATGATAAAGATGCTTGTGTTCTTAGCTTTAAATGGGTGTATTTTATGGTTATAATGACATCAGTACCTTGTACCTTGCTCTTCTGTTAATTTCTTTTGTGGTTAGTTTCTTGCTACCCAAAATAAATGGTAATTTTGAGTACTACATGAATTTGCCCATCTTCAGAGTAGGCAAAGTAAATCTCTTTCTCTTTCTCTCTCGCCTTGAGGCGTTCCCCATCAAGCAACGGTGGAGGTAGAAAAGGCATATTTTTGACGCTCTAGAGCTTTATGTTCTGTTGACAATGAATTGACAGTAGCAGAAGTATGGCAAAATTGGATTTTTTTCTCAATGAATTTTGTGTTGCTATTTTATGGTTGTTCGATGTAAGGCTAATAATGACTGCAATTTTCAGAAGATGTCATTCATTTTGTGCTCCAGCATTCTTGCCTTGTCCGATTAGTAATGAGTAAGTTTTTCTTCTATTGCTTTACTGTATTTGGCTATTGCACCTAAGAGCCTTTTGTGGCTATACATAGATGAAAAGAAATAGCTTCTTATTTTATAGCATGTCAAGCAGGTGAGAATGAAATTGAAAAAAGGTAACAGCTTCCTTAAAAGCTAAATCTGTTTAGTGTTGGTGAAGCATGTTAAAGGATGGTGAATTAACAAATTTAATCTTGCAGATAAAAGTGAGGACATATTTGAAATCAAGGTTGTGGGAGAAAAAGCAGAGAGTACTTCCCTAGACATACAGCTGAATACATAAGAGTTTATTAGGTTCTGAATGACTCTTAATGTTCCATGAATGATTGTTTATAACACCCAATCGACATAGTGATTTTCATTTGGAAGGTATGTAACTTATTATTGAGCTTGCAGTATATTAACCTATGTATCATTGCATTTATCTTCTCAAGAAACCAGAAAAATGAAATGGATACAGATTGTGCTTATGATAGGGATTCTACGACCATTTTTATTGTCCTTGTGCTTATTTTAATATTGGTGGGTGCTTTATTGTAGATGCAAATATGATTTTAGGGGAAAAATATTAGAAGATGCTGGCTATGTAGTTGGAACATGAATTTTGAAATTCCTCTACCAAAGGAAAAAATGTATGAAATTGCTTTTGCAATTTACTCCCTGTTATTTTAATTTTAACTATAACTGGAAAATATATATCTTAACTAGAGAGTTGGGAAGTAGGAAAAATTTTAGAAAGGAAAAAAAGAAAGAGCAAGAGTTTGGTAAAATATATTTGTTGTATTTGTAGTTGTGTATAAGAAACATGTTGAATTTTACTCTGTTTGCTTGCATGTGTTTTCTATTGCACTACTGCTACTTTGTCTAATTTTGTGTTAACAAGAAAAATTAGGTATGGCTTTTAATTATTCAAAGTTATATCTCCATTTGTTTGCATGTATATTTGAAAGTGCTGGCTGACTAAGGTTAGAAAGCCTAGAAAGTGGAATGAAAATGGTACAAAAAATCTTAGGATTACTGCCATTAGACTCCCTTATGAATTGTGGGTTGACATAATCTCGAAGGAATATAAGAAATGTTATCAGAAGGCTAGCATACATAAATTATGAGATATCAGGCTTAGCATACATAAAATATGAGATATCTGGCTTAGTTTTAGGATTGAGTCCTATTGTGGGAGGCTTGAAAAATACTGGGACTTCTATTACAGCAGCTCTGTCGACATTAGTTGGCACAATAGTTAGATCGTCAACCTCAACAGATTGGGAAGTGGGTAAGGATTTTGGAACTAAATGTTTGTTGATAAGCAATTTTACCATACTTAATGTTGATCATGTTGTAAGAACATTGAGAAAAGGTAACCAATTGAGGCTAAATCAAGAAACTATGGTCCTCTGACTCTTAAAACACATAAGCTCGGCATGGATAAAAGTGGTTTGGATCATAGCTAGAGCCTGTCGTGTTTGGTGAATCTTGTGCATGGTATATATATTTGGTACAGTAGGAATATGAACAAGAACAGGGAGAATATCATTAAAAAAATCATACGAGGCATCAAGGTGTAATTAAGTAATATTTGTCACTGAGCTTTAAGTTACTCAGGAAGAAGTCCATTGTTGTGCTCGACTAATGATTGACATACACAAATGATGATTTTACATTATTAGTCTGGAAAAGACATTGATAGTGCTATTTTCCAGCTACATTGTAGCATTACAAAGCTCATGAAGTTATTGAACATATATGTAATGAATATGCAGCTAAATTCACTCTTTTCCATGGCCACAAGGAAGCATTGGCCATATTGGTGCCCTTAAATACCTTGTTACGCTGTTGTAGCCATCCCGTTCTATTATGGTTTGTTTTGCATGTGTTGTTCATACAGATAAAGGTGAGTTTACGCTGAAAAGGAATTAATGATAGCCATTTTTGGTACTTCTTTGTTATTCTTGCCCGTGAGTGAGAATTAAGTATTTTGTATTTCCGTCTGTGGTAGCCATAGGAAAGCAATAGCAATTTCGTCTTATGAGTTTGATTCAATTGAGTTTGGGGAGGGTAGATTATATGCAAACTTTACCCCTACCTTGTGGAAGTAGAGAGGTTATTTCCGATAGACCCTCGGCTTAAGAAAAGCGATTTTCAAAACAGGTCTGAAAAAAAAAAAGCAACACGATAGTAATAGTGTAGTCTTAGTTGACATGTCTCATATTTTATATTGATGTAATAGTTGTTCTAAGATCTTCTCAACGCTGCAGGGAAGGAGAAAAGACGCAGGACTTCTTGGTATTTATCTTTCTTGGCATTACATGGATAGTGGCGTAGTATGAAAAGAAAAATGACACCACTACTTCAATTTGTCTAATGTGTATGTACCTGTTAATTTTTCAAGTTCTATTTTGTTTTTGTTAGAGACTCAAGTTTGTCATGATAATGGTTATAAATTAGATATTTGTGCTATTTAACTAGGTGATGCTTGACTATAAAATTTATGCATAATTCCTGCGATCTTGTGGGCCGTTCACTAGTGCTGAAACTGCTTGCGTAGACTGGAGCGAAAATACCCAAATTTAAATTTTACTCATGTTGGGCCCGTGTAGTGCACGGGCATGCACTACTAGTTACTTTAGAAGGTGTAGAAAGTGAATTCGTTATTAGTGATTGTTTACTCGTGAAACGGTACTGTTGAATTTGGTTTATAGACAAGTGAATTAACTTGATCCTGAAATAATAGATGAATTGGATAAAAATGTACTACTTAGACTTGAAGTGGAGACAAAATGTCAGAAATAATAATTTCGGGAGCAGGGCTTTCGGGCACAACGGCAATGAAATCAAGAAACAATAAGATAAAATTATATTAAGCTTTGAACAGAATGTAACTTATGTTTGCCAGAATAATCATATCCCCTACAATGATAATAGAGCTTATTATTTATAGTTGCACCTAGGGAACAAGGTCTTAGGATCAACTCCCTCTTTAATGTAAATTATGAGGGCCTGAAGAATGTGTAACGACGGGCATGAATGCCATATTCTTTTATAATGGGCAGTATACTAAATGTTGTAGAATATTCTTCATTAAATGCTTTCGGGTGGCAGGTATTTATTTCATTTTTATGAGTATTATTCTTTCCGGTAACAGACAAAATCGCTGCCTTCTATTTCAGCCATCCTCTATCTTCGACTCCACGTGCCACTTTGTCGTGCGATTATTCATTATAACGTATTTTACCCCATACAGATATTCTCCCTGCTTTTCAGTGGCATAATTTTGCATCACCGGGAAGTTGGTAGAAATATTCTTTTTGGCGGAAAATTTACTAACTCCATCTGAAAGGTTTCTAACGGTTGATTGGACGCACGTTTCTCCGCATTTAATGCCTCGAACATGCGTCATCCCACGATTTCGCATAAGTTTTGCTGGTTATCGAGGTAATTATAGACACGAATTTAGCCGCCTATACCTTCACTTATACGCATCAACTTCTTTCATTTATACTTCATAATACTCTAAATTTTCTAAGACTTTCTTTACTCAATTCATCCTTAGACTTTAACATTTCTTTAGCTCCCTTCTTTGAGAGAAAAACCCTCCCTTTAATAAAAAATGACCTCTTCTTCAAGAAAACCTAGTTCTTCAAAGAATAAAGGCAAAGCTGATGATGCTACTCCTCGTACGGTTAGTTCCATCGTCCCAAAGAACCTGAATACCACCAAAGATTTTGGAGAGAAGTTTCCTTCTGCTAACCCTTGTATGTGGGTTGTTGGCAGATACACCTCTTCATCCATCCTTCTAGTATTCCTGTTGTGAAGGAAGATTACAATTGCCAAGATTTAGACATTATTGCTCCTGATCTGATGGAGCGAATAACCATCCCCAAGAAGGGCTTCACGTATTTTTATACGTATCCTTTCACTTTGGAGCCATTCTTTTTTAGCAGAGAGCTTGATTCCGCTATTGTTGAATTTTGCATCCGCTACCAAGTGAGCTTAGCACAGATAAGTCCTTCTGAGAGGATAGTCGCTTGTCTTCGGCATTTGTGCCAGGAGACAGGAGAGGAGCTAACCCTATCTCGGTTAATGAATCTCTATTCCCCCAAGATTTTTCTCGGGGGGAATGATAAACTTTAGAAAATATGTCCACCATGCCTTGCTACCAAGGACATCATTCTGGCTACAACGTCACCCTTTCCGGAGTTGTGGAACCATGCAGTAAGTCCATCTTTTATCCCTTTTTCTAGTTAAAGATCATGTCATGTCGTTACTGATTCCTTCTCTTTTATTTGTTTCAGCAACTCAGTGGGTTCCACCGCAGGTTGAAAGTTTGGACAAGTGGGTCCAAAAGATTTTGGATGTCACTACACCAGAAACCCACACGTGGAAGGAATTAGCCCTCAAACACGGATGGAAAGCTAAAAATCATGGTAGCAAAACTCATCTCGTCTTTCCTTTTCATGTAAAGAAGTTGTTTCCCCCTTTTTTCCTTTGCTGAATTCATTTCTACCTAGGGCTCAGTTGTTGTCCCTAAGGAGGACGTTTTGGCTGATCCTACTGATGCGGCGAGGCTGATGTAGAAAGCCTATACGCAAATAGGTATTTCCGGGCCTGCTTCTGGTGCAAGTTCTTCTTCTCGGATTCCCCGCCCAGAGAACAATCGACAAAAAAAAAGATGCTCATCTGCGGTTAGGGGAACAAATAGAAAGGCAAACAGCGCAACACCCGATTTGTCTTCTGATATTTTGGTGACAAGCGTCGCGTTCGAGCTGGTCCCAGAAACCATGGTGATCGATGATGATGGAAAAGACAATGATGATAGGGCTTCTCTACATAGAGGACAACAATCTCCATCAACTCAACGGAATGCCCAATCTGTTGAGTTAGCTGTGCCAATCGGGGATGATGCCTCGACACTCTAGAGGGAGTTTGATATGGTAGAAGATGCTAACTCACGCTTTTGAGTCCTAGCTGTTGCGCCCGGTACTATAGGGCGAAGTACCGGGCTTCTTCCATCTTCGATTAATGAGCAACCATCAACTATTATTGCACCTGCCACAACCACTTCTCGCCCTACAATGCCATATGATTCATCTCCCTCTTATTTAATTCAACCTTCGCCACCAGTAGGTACTACATCATTTGTGCCGGCCACAGCTACCCGAGAGGATGATGTCCCTTTTCCCCATTTCCCAATTCATGGGACTTGAGGCAAAATTATGCTTCTTTCTCAAGAGATCCCAAAAGGAGGAGGAGCGCCACCCTCTCGGTTTCCACTGGATGCAATCTGTTGTCTCGGCTGATGGAACTTGATAACTATCTGAAGCCCCTAACTTCAGAGAAAGATTGGAAAAAGATACAAACTCACTCGGGAGAATGTTTGTTGAATAATGTCATACACAATGCAATGACGGTATAGTCTTTGTTTTCTTTGGTTGTTTCTTCTACTTGTGTAATGGAAAAGTTTTGAATTTGCATTCTTGTTTTGCAGGCCAATTTCCTTGACTCTGAGGGTGTTCAAAGGTTGATTCGTAATAAGGAGGAACTTGCCTCCGAGAGGTATCAACTTTCGGCCGAGAGGGGCCAAATTGCTGCTCGCCTCTCAGAACTTGAAACTTGAGTTGCTAAGGTTGTTGAATTGGAGGCTCAGTTGCAGCAAAACAAATAGGAAGCAATGACTATTAGCTAAGAGGGTTTTCCATTAAGGGCATAATATGAAGAAACTAAGGCCAAATTGGTTAAAGTTTATAATACTAACCTTACTGCATTCGATCGTAAGGTTGCCTCTTCTGAAAGATTGCATAATTTGGAGGCAGCCTTAAACTCCAAGGCTAAAGAACTTTCTGTTGTCGGAAAAAAGCATGCCCGGTTGGAGGACAAATATAAGAAAGCGTTAGAGCGTAATAAGATTTATGGCTCAATTGTCCGTGATTTTGAAACCAACCTCCAATCCATGAGATTCGGGCGAGATAACCTCTATGATTAGGTCGGCCAACTTAAAGGAGAACTTCAGCGTCGAGCTGCTTTCCTCATTGTTGAAAAAACATATGCTATGTACAACATGAGGAGAACAAACTTGGAAGAGGCTAAAGTGGGTGTCGTTGACTTTGATATTGAAATCGCTAAAGCTCGTGAGCTAGAGTTGGCTGCTTGAAGGGGTCTTTCGGTCAGGCGTGATGCTACCGATTCTTCTGGTTTCAGTTCTGAGTTCTCGGGAACTGAAGAGGAACTGAAAGGTGATGATGCTGAGGGCCAGAATGATGAAGGCCAGGATATCGAACCGGTGTCGGATCTACCCACTTCTCTTGGAGGCGTCGATGCTTCTCTTCCTTTGGGTTCCGAAGATGCAGAAGCTTAATTCTTGATTTCCATTTCAATCTTTTGTACTTGTGTCGTTTGGCAAATTTTTTGTAAGTAAAAACACTTTTTTGTTCAAGTATCATATAAGTTTCCCTTTTTGCATATTTTTGTTTAAACATTTGCGCAAGTTTGTTCTATACATCTTTTTTTGCTTAAGTGTTTGCACAAGTTTTATTATTTGCGTCTAATCATGCAAGGCTTCAGGTGTATTTTTCCTTGAAAGCATTACGATACCGGGCATAAGTTCTTCCGAAATCAACCCTTTAACGTGAGGGTTTTTATAAGAGAGGGCTCTCTTATGTTTACGGTTCTCTTGAAGAGGAAGTCTCATGTTCATTACGACACTAGCATTTGAAGTACTTGTTTAACTTTCAAATGATAAAATCAATTCATCGTTCAGAAAAGAAACAAGATAGAAATAAAAGGACTTTACTTTAGTCCTTCCGTTTTCAAAAAGTACATAAGCATTCGTTATGCTAAAAAGAAATTGTCATTTCTTCTGGCTAACATGTACAACTTGTTTCTACGGGGCTGGACGCAAAGTGTCCGGTTCCGATGATACAAATATGTTTCCCGTTTTTATATTCCGGTCGACAAGGTAGTTATTGTTGCCGCATCCTCATATCATCCCCCCTAGTATTCGAATGCGAAGAATGCAAATTTGAACACTGGAAGTTTTGAACCTTCGAGGATTCCACCAATGAATTACTAGATAATCATCAGTTCAGTAACAAACTTCACTTCCCCTTAGGAATTTATTCTACCGAGCCAAAGACTATCTGACAATACCCTAGTAGTTTGCACTTGTGAATGATCGGGTAACCTTTGTTCGATAGCAAAACTTAACTTCCCACTGGGAACTTTTCTACCGAGCAAAAGATTATCTAACCACTCCTGAGTGGTTCTTCGCTTATGTGACTTTCTATTAAAAGCTCTTATTACTGCTGCTGAAACCTTCTACGTAGTATGCTTTCCGTTGTTGCCTCGTTAAAAACCTTGCTAGAAAAACCCAATTGGGACAAAAACTAAACGAAAGTAAAAAGAGTGCAGCACATACTTTCAGTATAGGTTATGTTCATCAGTAATAGTATCTCTTGAGATGTGCCACGTT